GATGCTCACAGATCTCACAGGACCTTGGGGGGGGGGTAGGAGCTCCAGACTACTTTTGGAAGATAGCTATCATAGCTTTTTCGGTGGGGGGGGAGGGGGGGGTTCATACTGCAACCAACACTTCCTGAACGTGCATGTGGGGCCAGGATCCGAACTGCAATTTTTTACGTGTACACGTACACCATTGCAACCTGCGCACCCCCCCTCCCGGACCATGGAACTGCAATGTTTCACCTGGACACGTCCCCCCCCAAATCCCTTGGTTAAGAGTGGGGGATGTGTCAAACAAACAGCTTACGCATCTTATGTGAATGCCCTCTTAGCTGAAGTATTAAAAATAAAACAGTTTCAAGCTTTTAGTCTCCGAACAAGTACCGACGTGTAAGTTTGACCTCTGCCGATACAAGCATTTGCATGAATTAACGGACACGGCGCTTAGTTGCCTCAAAGCCACAAGCTTCTCCGAGTCGACCCGGGACCTGCTCTCAGCTTGCAGTCGTGAGCGCGATGGCGGGAGGTAATCCCGCAGCAAATCCTCAAAGGCTGTGAGATCTTTGCGACAGAAATCACACTGCGGCCAGGCTTCCTGGCAGGCTCCTTGGCTGGCACGGCTCAAGACTATGATAGCCTCTCGTTGGAACTTCTGGAGCGTGCCCTCTTTGCAGTAGCAAGCGTCAGACTCTAAGACACGTGACAGTGCAGCTGAGGTTCGTATTGCAGGCTCCCAAAGGTGAGGCGTCCATGGCACCAACGCTGCATGAAGCTTTTGGAATGCGGTGCGAAGCGAGGTCCATGCTTTGATGCCACAAGACAGCATGCTGCAATCGTGGTCAGGAGGCCCAGGTCCTGGAAGTTGATGCAGTGGTGGCATTGGCAAGTATCCAGTGTCTGTAAAGACCTGCTGCAGCAGCGCTGCTGTGGCACAGTCGCTCTCAAAGCCTTTTCTGGAGGCCCATCTTTGTGCCAGCTTCATGATGGCAATGCCGGCAGCTGCCAGTATCGCAGCATCGTAAAAGGAGGAGCGAACTTTGAGCCAGGTGTTGATCATGAGGGCCTTTTCCCTGCTGCTCCAGCGAAGCTTGTGGGCAAAGAGCACTAGGTCGTTGAGTGGAATATGGGTCATGCCATGCAGAAGGTAGTTGAAGACGTGCTCGAACAACATTGGGGCTTGCCACTCGCTGGGGTTGCCATGTTTGGAAGCTGCCTTTCTGCGATTCCATGCCTTGGAACAGGGCATGAAAGTAGCATTTTGCAAATAGCAGGCATCCTTTGCGAAGCCTTCATTGCAGTAGTTGTTGAGCACCTGGCTGTACGAAACTTGGCACCGGTGTCAGATGGCATTGCGACATTCTCACGTAATCCAGCTGCGAGCAGCAATCGCAAAGCTGGCCACGACCTTGGCCCACAAGCGGACCTGCTCATTCCATTTTTCATGCTTAGGCAATCCATGGCCTGGAGGGTTTAGAGCTTCCTGCATGTTTAGTCGAAAGATGAGGCCTGTGGGAGGCAAGGATCCGGGCTCCAGTGTTTATCCCTAGAAATACCCCAATCTGAGCTTGAAATCCCCGAATGCGAATCAGAGCTCTTTGCTGCAAGGACAACCGCTTGAAAAGTATCCAGGTGGCAATCTTATAACAGCACCCTCCCCCATCCCCAATCAAGGACTGACTAGTGCAGCCACGCAACTCCGCAAGTTTCTGCGCAGAGCTCCCGCCGTTGCTTGCGAAACTTCTTGGGATAGGCGGGCGCATCCGCAGAGAATGTACGCCATCCATGAGGCAGACCACGTGGTCCTGTCTGCTGGTCACTGAGGGTCTGTGAAAATCTGTCTAGGATCATCGGATATAGCTTTTCAATTTTAAGCTTTTTGCACAGCGGATGACAGCAAAGCGCAGCAACATTAGCAAGACCTCTGCTGGAAGAAGTACTAAGTAAAACAACTGAAAGCCAGTGCGATTGGGCAGGGACAACATTTAATGTAGCATTTAAGCTGGCTGTCAGCCTGACTGTGTTGGAGAAGCGCACTGCATCTGCGCTCAAGTCACACCTTGCTTAGATGTAACAACCAGTGTCTGCTGCAACGGTGTCCTTGATCCTTTTCGACTTCGCTGCGAGCTGATCGAGCACATGCTTTGGAACTCCAAAGTCCTTGGGGGCCTGGATGTTTCCATCCTCATACTCGGACAGCAGGCAGAAGTCTGCAAATAGCTCACTCTGAGATGAATCAGCCCACTCTGAGAGCTTCCTGCTGGTGTATCTGCTGTGGCCATGTGTCCTCGGATGCAACGCTTTCTTAAACCCCGGCTGACATCTTGGTTGCCCCAATCAGTCTTGGCAGTGCGTCACATTACATGCATTACGCTTGGAGATGTGCCATGCTCCAAGGTTCAGAATTGCCACAATCCGTGCCATTTGGTGTTCGCGGCCAACGAAAATGGACAGCACCATTGGCACAGCAAAGTGGACCTCCAGCGGGAGCCTTTTGACGCAGCGACCCAAAGGCGTCGGACACGGCCAAGCACCCAGCCATGCCAGACCCAACCGCTGCAGAGTGAAGAGGCCATCGTCGACCTGATTGATGAAACTCATTTGACTTCATGTGTGATGTGAAGTCAAGCTAACTGTCTGCCCCGTAATCCTGGCCTGCTTTGAATCTGGCGCATGTATGGCCTTCTGCAGATATTCTCCAGGTGCTTCTTCTGGGATATCACAGAGCACTCGAAGCAAGTGCCCCTGCAACGGAACACGAAGAATTTCCGGCGTCTGGAAGTCTGGCATGTTGTCAAACCTCGGGAGCGGCTTCCAGTTTGGAGGGGAAACCAGCGCAGCCACACCGCACGACCACCCTCAACAATCCAAGCTGCTGCTCCTGGGTAAAAGCGGCAAAGTACTCACCTTCTGCCGTTCTTCCCGCCTCAGGACGCGTCCAACTCCAATCAGGCGTATTTACTGCAATCTTCCAAGGCTATCAGTGAAAGGCGTGAGACCTTGTCGTTTTGATTCCAAGTTGCCCTGCCAGCTCTTTGCCGGATGTTCATCTTGGCCGCCGGCACCGTTGAGAGTTCCAGGGCCGATCTCCTTACGCGCCAAACTGACCAACGCGCAAGTCCATCGAAAGACTTCAACTATTGCGGGGGAAGGCTCTCTCGACAGAGGCCATGGTCGATGACTGCGCGGAGGTCGGGCACAGTCAGAGATGTCTCTGCAATGTTCGTAGACAGGAAGATTTTGACCGGTCCACCAGCTGGCACCTGGTGCAGCTGCTTCTCCAAGGTTGAGTGCAACTTCCGAATCTGGAAGTGCATCCCGGCACCTCAAGTGAAGCGACACTCTTACAAACACTGACGACGCAACAGACCTCAAAAGACCCACATACTCCCAAAGGCCATCTTTCAGTCCTAAGTATGTCACAAATGTGAACCCTGGTTCTTAGCCGAGCTGCATAATGTGTTGATCTCTTTTTCGCACTCATCAATGGCATGAATGCCAGGCAGAAACACCAGGATGTTGCCCCGTCCTGCCGAAAGCAGGATGAATCCAAAGCCTGAAGTTGCAGACAAGCTGAGATGGAATGGGAACCTCCATGCCAGAATTGGAAACCAGTCCTTGCAGCAGATGCTGCACCAAAATGGCAATGGCATTCACGTTCACCTTGCCACTGACTGAAGGACACGCGATGTGAACGAACGAGGTAAGTGTGAGCCCAGCTGTTTTGCTTGGCACTTTCTGCTTCCTGATTTGTTGTTCTTCGTTGCTAGTCTACCAAAGCATGCATGTGTTGAAGCCAAAGCACCTCTGGCCAGAAGGCACTTGCACATCTCAACCTCACCATTGCTGGAAGAAGTGCCACTGGACCTTAAACACTCAATCAGCAAGGTAGCTGGCAATCTAGGCATGGGGGCACGTCTTGGCATTCGTTGATTCTGTTCATGAAGCCGGATTCTCGTCATCGTCATCATCTTCATCCTTACCATCATCATAATCATCATCACTCTCCTTAGTTCACGCTGCTTCTGCCAACTTGAGAAGCAAAAGAAACGCCTGCAAAAGCACTGACAAGCAGCGGGGAAGCATCGTCCGGGCACCCGCAAATGCCCAACACAGCCCTCCGGCAGCACGCCAGCGAAGTAGTGCTGGAGTGTCATGTTGGGTGTTGCTGACATCAGCACCACTTTGAACGCTGGTGAGGATGACCAGCAGCCCTTGTTATATTCCAAGACCTCCTTCACTGCCAGCAGCAGCAAGTCAAGCTCCACAGAATCCTCATGGACTTCGTCAAGGACTATTGTGCAACAGCCCTTTATGGAACGTCGAACCCGATGCAGCAATGAGCCGAAGGTTGCAAAGGACACCGACCGCATCCTGCAGGGATGGGTCCTATGCTCGTCGGTGAAGAGGCCAACAGAATTGCCAATTTCCTCCCCTGCTTCCTGCGCCGCCCTCTCAGCCAAGTTCTGCGCAGCCACAACTCGCGGAACGCCCACGGCAATGCGGCACGACCCACCACGTCGTATCGCGTCAAGTAGAAGGAATCGAGGAACACGGGTGGATTTGCCAGCGCCCGTTTCTGCTTCGATGATGCTTACATGATGCTTTTCCACCATGTCCAGCACGTCCTGCATGTGTGCGTCAATAGGCAAAGCTGTTAAATGAGCAGAGCACAGCTCTTGCCGACCACAATGCAATGGTGGGCTGCCCCAGAAGCCGCCAAGCTCCTCATCCAAAGTATTGGATGGAGCCTCCCATCGAAGTCTCCTGTCTGATGGAGGTTGTACCGTCGCCTTCCTTTTACGCGCCTTCCTTGATGTTTGTTGTGACAAACTGAAGGCTCGACGCTCGTCGTCATCTCCAGGCTCACACATATCCAGATCATCTCCAGGAGTTCCTGTCCAAAGCAAGTCATAATCCTCCTCGCCAAAAGGGGGCATGCAAGGGGACACCTGCCTGAGATCAGCCATTGCAACAAATCACAAAGGCAGCTTGTGTTGCGGGGTTCCGTCTACTAGCCTTCTGACACAAGTGCTGTTTCTGATTGCTTCCTGAGTCTAGATCAATCCGATGAAGCATCATAACAGAGCCAAGGAACGCTTCTCGCAACAAACGTACAAGCAAGGCTCGCTTTCGAAGGTCAAGTCGGCACTCCAAAGTATCGAACCTGCAGAATTGAGTTCAGCACAAACTAATTGTGGAGCCAGGGATTCAAATCTGCATGCCAAGGTGTTGGACAAAGCAGGCTGTGCATTGTCCGCAACTGGGCGATGCAATGTTGTTTGAGGTATGAGGCTAAGCATTACTTGTCCAGCCGCACAAGTCATATTGCATAACACATTAACCGATCATCCACGCCTTGGCTCAGGTCTTAGAGGTGGACTGCGGCTTCGATCCTGGAGACTCATGACATGGATACTGAAGCGTGTGCTACAAAACCCTCAAATCCCCCATCAAATGGCTCTCAATAGGTTTGGGATGGTTCGGGCCAGATCGCAGGGACCACACGACGACAAACACCTCCAATTAGAGAATGGCCCCCTGATCACTACCGTTATGGATACATGCATCGTAGAATGACTGTGCGAGAGCCTACACACTAGTGAAGGGACCGAATTGAACCCAGCACTTGAAGCAATGGAAAGCACAAGGAATGGTCTGATGCGATCCTTGTTCAGATCCTTGCAGAGTCTCTGGAACAGTTCGTGGTTTTTGATGTCCGCTGGCGCATGAGCCAACCACTCCTTCAAACCTGTGGCAGTCTGTGGAGTTTCACTGGTCTGTGGAGTTTCACTGCTTTCTGCACCTTGCGGTGTTGGCGGCGCCGCCTGAGCACGAAAGCTTGGCAGAGAAGGAGCAAGGCTTGCAAGCCCAAACACAACTACAAGTTTTGAAGCAATCAGCCGACAGTTAGCAAAAAGAATATCGACAAGGAAGACTTTCAGCCGAAGCTTCAACACCGATGCAGAGCTTGCCACCGCTGTCCGTATAGACGTTGAAGGCATTGGAGCCCTTGATCTTCTTCAAAAGCCCCTTCTTGGGCCGGTGGACGGACTTCCAGTCCACACTCAGGGCATCATACCAGTAAGCCCCACCCCATCCTGCAGAAAGCAGGAAGGATCGTAGCTCCTGATCGAAGGCGCAAAGGTTGGCCATGAATCGCTGGAGGCCAACATGCTTGGCAATACTGATGGCAAGCGGTGGATACGCCTAGGCACATCCTTCTTCTGTTGCACTGCAAGTATACACATGTACTTTCAAGGTGGATGGCCTTGAACCTGAAAAAGGCTGCCGCCAAAGGGATGGTATGTAGGGTCACACGCAAGCCTATAAGACAACGGCATGTCTTTCACTCAACTTCTCTGGAGTGAATTCGGCTGAAGCTGCGAGGCAAGTTGCGACTAAAATGAACCGCCACCACATGTTCTTAGAGGCGAGGGCAACAAAAAAAGCCAGCTCCAGGCAAAATCACTACGGTTCTACAGTGCTTGCACTTCTTGCGCAAAATTGTTTGAGTAGAGCAACAAACACAACAAGAGCTTCAACTCTAAAATTGCCAATGGATCTGACCCCACGACATTGGCTCAGCAATTACGCCAGAAGCAAACTGCCGACAACACCAGCAGCCCTTGGCAGCTAGCGAACCCACAGCTGTCGGCAACACAAGGCAAGCGGGGAAGACAAGGCCTGTGGTGAACTTCAACACGCTTGGTCGGGCATCTCGAGTTTGCTCGTCCCACAGAATCTCGAAAAACCAAGCCGCTTGCTGCTTGCGTGCCTCAGCGGATCTGCAGCACCACAGTAGGGGGAACGTCTTCAGACTCACAGCTGCTAATGCATGATTGGAGTAGAGCCTGGCAAGAACTTGCGGCACAGGCGCTGGATTCACGTTAGATCGCCTCGGCCCCAAGTGGCTGACGCTCCGTGATGCATGAGTACGTAAACGAAAGGAGCACTCACTTCAGGTCACAGCACTCCTGCCAAATCCTCAACGCATCGTCGCTCACATGGGACAGACCAGACCACTCCTTGGCTTGAGAAGAGAATTGCTACAGGAAGCAAGAGGCTGTGCGCTCTTACCTACTGCTGGGAAAGGCTCCTTTTGAAGCTCGTCTGCCGACAGCAACGCCAAGTACGCTGCGCCAGCCGCATCACAGACCTCAGCTTTGAGCTACCTCCAACACAGCTTGCTTTAGCAGGAGTTGTCATTTGGGCTTGGTTGTGATGCTGGTGTCTCAACTGCTTCAGCATCTGCGAACAGAACTTTATGCGAGGTGGCACAGACGCAAGACCATCCAGGTGCCAGACCCCATGTCGAAAGGAACTTGCCGCATGCTGAGTAGCGTCCACCAGCTCATGACGCAACACCGCTCTGAGCCAATCCAGCTTCGTCGTATCTGTGACCACGATGGACCGCCCACCAACTGTGAGGTCGACGATGCTGCCTTGAACCTCCCTGCTGAAGGTCAGTTGTCCTTCCAAGCCCAGGTCCTTCAGGTTAGAGGTCAAAAACGCGGAGGAACCCCTGAAATCCGGAGCGCTTTCGCTCTGCTCTGCATTGAGTTCAGCCTGTAGTTCTTCTACAGACTCCGGGATATCAGCCTGAATGCACCGTAGGAAGGGTCTTGCAAGTGTTGCTCCAACGAGAAGTTGTTGGAGCTGCTGTTCCTGATTATCATCGTCTTGCGTCACAGCTGCTAGGAGTTCTTGAAGCGTGGCGTTTTCTCTAACTCGCTGCTCTTGCGCTGCGTTCTCTGCCTGGCACAAAGCGAGACCAAAGATGCGACCACAGGCGCGGAAAACGTCCGCCGGAGCATCGGGGGCAGGCGTCAGGGAACCTGCAGGTGTCCTCTGCCATACCTTCTCATCGCCACATGCCCGGCCAAAGTCGTTGAAGAACTCTCGTCGCGGGCCTCCGGCGTCCTCTGCAGCTTCGCCCACAAAGGTCACCTGGAGTGATTTTCGCAGGTCTGATACAGGAGCTTGGCCGATCTGTTCCAGAGCGCTCTGGAAGAGATTCGCGCGCTCCACACGCAGTGCAAATTGGATTGGTGAACCATCCTCTGCCTTCGCAAGTGCCGCCAACGGTGTACACACAGCGCAGTGTGCCAACCTGGCATCTTTCGTGCTTGAATCGCCTGGTGGCCAGAGGATCCTGAAGACCGAGCGTGCATCGAATAGCTCCGAAGCATCCATGGCCATTGCCCTCGCCTTAAGCAAAGCCTTCGCCGAGTCTAAGAGAAACTCGTAATTGTCTTGAAGTGTCTTCTTGCAGGCCAGGACAGAAGCTAGTGATGAAAAGCTGGCACGCACGGCACGCAAGTCTGCCACCATCTCCTCCCAGGTATCTTCCAGTTTAAAGGCTTTCAAACCAAGCTCTGAGATGGTCATCGAGGCAAAGTTCGGGAAGCTTTCTTGCAAAGGCTTCGGGGGGACTCCAACCAGAAGTCGCTGCCTCTTCCTGGGAATCCGGCCTAAGGACTCACTCTGCTCAATGGCAGCAGCCAAGCCGCTGAAGAGGGTGTTGCATGGAAGCTCAAGCTTCCTTAGCCCGATGCCAACGCCACTAGGAGTTTGCAGAATTCCAGACATAAAACACCATTGACAAGCTTACCGTATAGGAGGCATACAGCAAGAAAAACAAAAGCAGAAGTGATGAGCCGAGGTTCGATTTCAAGGCTCCGCGCAGGACAGTCAGGGCAACCGGCTCTCCTGGTGGCTGCAGTTCCGTTCCCCGAAGAACGGCAGCGGTCAAGTCCAAGCTTGCGGTCGCGGGTAGCTCCAAGGCGTCTCCGGTGCTGGACATTATCCAGCCAAGTGCCTCGAAGGCGTTCCGTGCTCCGCTCTCCGCAAGGAGAGCACCAATGCGCGCGTTGGTCAGCTTCAGCTTACGAAACTTTGCATCATATGGATTGTCCATCACATTCTGAAGAAGCTTCCGGAAAAGCTGCAAGGACTCCAGTGGCCAAGCTTTCGCATCGAGCATCAGCTTCTCAGAACGCGAGTCTTCCATGATCACGTCAGCCATGGTCAGCAGCGTCGGAAAAATGTGTGATATCTGTACGCGTAATCCGGCCCACGCTGATAAGATGCTGGCTGGGTAGCTACATGCTGAGGTTGCAGAATCGTGTTCTGGCTCGAATGCCTTTCCCAAATCAATCAAACCAAGTCCAACTGGTCACCTCAAGAAGTGTGTGGACAAACACAATATGTTGGCTAGCACCCCTGCATGCAGATCAAGTTCAAACGTATGCTTTTTAACTCTGCTGCAGCAGGCGCTCTCAACAGTCTGCTCACATCAACCAGTTGCATAAAAGTCTGCCAGCTCCCCTTCGGCCACGTCGATCCGAGCAAAGAGCGGAAGCCTCAAAAGCCACCGATGCAGAGTGTTCCACTTGTCTTGGGCTCAACGCTTGCATGCTGGAAGCTCTGGGTTGCTTCTTCTGGCAGGCAAAAGAGCGGGCTCTCCAAAGATGACGTGCCACCTGGGTCTTGGGCGTTGCATGCATGTCTGTGCTCCGCAGGCAGCCAAGCGGCAAGTGCTCAAAGAGGGCGGATACTGCTATTCCTGGTCGCGGATCGTACTTGACATCCTGCCAAGACCGCAATCAAAGGCAAAGTGTGCTCAGCAAGCTGTGCTCTGCAGAGTTTCATGCTTGTCCTGAGCACAGGCAAGGGGAACCTCGCCCAACCTCACGGAATTCTGGATAGTTCTGCACAAGAGCTAACATGTCTCATAGTTTGAAAGCTCTGCGGACAGCCCAAGGTACATAATTTTTTGTAGCCACTGGTAGAAGTCTTGGCTGCGAAGCAGCAACCGGTCAGACCGCACCAAGAACCTCAACAATTTTCGACGATGAACGTCAACAACTGTCAGGCAGCTGTGGCCCACCAGTTGATATAAGGCAAGAGCTGGCTGCAGCAGTAAGAGCCAAATACCTTCACCATCGAACAAATCAGCGCACCCGACTCGGCTGAGGCGAATCTACGATGCTCGTGATGTGATCCGTCTGCCTCGGGCATGTCGTCATTGAAGATGCGCGCGTAGAGATCCCTGGCAAAGCAAAAGGTCAGGTAGGGGAGCTGTTGCTACTGCCATTACTATTCCATTACCATGACTGATACCATTACCATTACCATTAATCATTCAAGTGCTACCACCAAG